AATAGTATAGGTAATTATTCATGCCCCTACATTAGATCCTGAGCGCCGCTTCGGTTAACAATAGCTCAGGGCATGCAAGACAAGGTGAGCCTCCACTCGCCGGGCAGACCTGTGCTAGGATTTGCTGAAAGGGTATGTGGGCTTGGCCGCCTAAACCCTAAACCCTAAACCCTAAACCCTAAACCTTAAAGTGCATGTACCAAGTAGGATTTAGAGACCGGGACTTTTTGAAAGGGGTTTGAGGTTTGCGGGCTTTGGCGGGATGCCTGGGACAGTGACCCAAAGCACTCTGGCTCTAACGTAGGGGGCCGATGACGAACGTAGGGCTGCTATGCAGAGGTATCGGTGCTTTAGCAAAGCTTGCGCATGCACTACTCCCAGAGTTATGGCTGCTGAATCATGGTCGTCAACGCAGGATTTTGTCCGACCGGATTCCGTTTTGGAGGTTTAAGGCTCTTTAGGCTAGCGGTTGCGACTTTAGACATCAGTCTCCCCTAAACCCGAAACCCTAAATCCTAAACCCTAAACCCTAAACCCTACCTAAACCATGATGTCTCCCAAAGCAAGATTTGGGAGTTTCGGGATATTTCCGTATGGCAGGCCAGGGCCTTGGGATGCAGAACCGAATATGAGTAGTTGTTAAAGTTGGGGGCCCGTTGAGGGTTTAGGGTTTAGGGTTTAGGGTTTAGGGTTTAGGGTTGAGGGTTTAGGGTTTAGGGTTTAGGGTTTAGGGTTTAGGGTTGAGTAGTTGTCTAAGTTGGGGTCCCGTTTAGGGTCCTTTTTGTATAAGAGTACCATACTATTTTGGGGAACTAAAAAGGGCCCCTGGCTTAGGGTCCTTTTGTATAAGAGTACCATACTATTTTGGATATTTTGGGGAACTGAAAAGGGTCCCTGGTTTAGAGAACTGCCCATATAGAAGCCTGAAAAGCAAGGCAGTTAGGGGTTTGGTACATGTGATAAGAAGCCGGCAGGCCTCAGAAAACCGTGATGGAGCCTTCATCTCGCACTTCTCAAGACAAGCTCCTCGTATTACATAGACCACGCCCCCCAGCGACCCACTAAGAAGCCAAGAGGCCTCACGAAAAACCCATGATTCAAACCCTAAACCCTAGACCCTAAACCCTAAACCCTGAACCCTAAACCCTAAACCTCTATAGATCCCCCAAGGTCCAAATGACTAAGACACCAAGAGGTGAGCCCGGCCCTGGAAACCCTAATGCAGCGGCCTTCACTATTAGAATAGGGTTTTGAGTATATTATACTGTAACTATAATAAGGAGCCCTCAAAATAGTATTGGCAATTAGCCCTAAACCCTAAACAAGGTAGGCCCCTAATATTTGGCACCCCCAAACCTAAAACCGTCAAGCCCACAAGCTCTAAGCACTTACACACCGACTGCGACACCTCAAACCAGCCAACCCTAAACGCTAACATAGCGGCCTGAATATTTAGAATAGGGTATGGGGGAAATTATACTATAACTATAAGAAGGACCACCCTCAACAAAAATGTCTAAATATTAAGGCCCCTACATTAATCCCGAAACCCAATGCCAGGAAGAACAGCCTTGAACCGCAAAGGCCGAACGCTGAAACGGAAACCTCACACCCTGGACCCTCAAAACCCAAGTCTTAAACATAAACCCTGAACCCTAAACCCTGAACCCGAAACCCTGAACCCAGAACCCTGAACCCTAAACCCGAATAGCTCAAAAGACCAGCGAAGCCGAAAGAACGCAACCTGAAGACCGGAAGCAGCAACCTCGGGGAATATGAGAGATGTAACAATTAAGACGTATAATCTCTCATTGGGTTTAGGGTTTAGGGTTAGGGTCTATGGTTTAGGGTTTAGGGTCTAGGGTTTAGGGCTTTAGGGTACCATGTAAGACATATTGTAGGGGCCTGAATAATTAGAACAGGGTTTTGGGGGTATATTGTACTATAATTATAATAAGGAGCCCCCCCCCCAAAATGGATTTAACAATTAAGACATATATAAGCTCTCATTACTAGCCTTCTTGTAAGTTGTAAGGATCAAGCCCTAGCCCAAAACCCTAAACCTCCTTAAACCCCCTAAGCCTCGTTAAAACAAAAATCTAGTCCTGAATCTAAAACCCCCAAACCTCCTTACTTGGAGGTTCGGGGGACTTATAAGTATCATAACCCAATTAG